TCGAAAAGCAAATGTTATATGTAATAGAAATTTTGAATTTAAATTACACGACGAATCAAATTAACTGGTCTGGTAAATCAAGTTCTAGTTAACATACTATTGGTCTATTGCATAATCCCATATTTAAATTAAAGCAATGAAAATCTAACACCATAGTTTTATAGACAAATTTACAAAAACCGGTAATTTGGCAGCGCAGAAAAAGTGTGCGTATAAGTAAAATGGGAATAATAACCAAATGTAAAAGTGTCGGAAAGTTATACTTTTACTTGTTTGCGTGAAAGTTGCAATTTTAAAAGATTTTTATTCTATTCAGTTTGTTATTAAATTAAGAATATCGAATCTCGTCTAAAATAAATGAAATAAGCATCTCTGAAAAGGAAGTAAGGGTTAAACTTTTCGAAGAAGATAAGACATACCCTGAAATCGGTTAAATTGGTTGAAGAACACAACGCAACCAGAATCATCAGATTTTAATGTTGTTGTTGTTGTTGTAGCGGTTACCTAGTCCCCGTTTGGGTGATAAGTTCCAGTTTGGTTGTCGTCGAGGTCATCTAACGGGAAAAAGGTGTTAGATGAGTGGGATCAGATTTTAATTTTTATTTACGATTTTAATTCTAAATAACGCCTATGAGATTTACTGGTACGTAAAATCCGCTAACGCCCAATAACCTCAAAGAATATGCTTAAGGAAGTTTTAAAACGTTGGGGATATCCGACTTCCTATTAAATTTTTAGAAGAACCCAATGTAGGTTTTGAGTTACATAAATATATGTATGTCGGATAATTGAAAATCTTTAAATAAATAATATATTAAATTTATATTTTATATTCTGACAGCCGTTCACTTACAACAAATACTTGTAAAGTAACTCATAGGAGTACAGAAAATAAGTCAATATCTTTTCACTGGAGGTTATAGATAACCGCAATGTGCCGATAAGGTCCAGTAAAGCTCTGCCAAGCAGTTAAATACAATTTAAGACATTGGCGTTCGCTGCTATAATAATAACTGAAAAATTATCAAATTCTATATCCTCAGGGGAATAAAGTACTAATTAAAAACCATTATTATTGAACAAAGTATTAGATATTTTTCACTCAAATGAATTAAAAGGCCATAAATAAATATGGTTGTCAGCGGGGAATTAAAAATATATATGTATGTACATATATTTCATTTCTAAGTGCATTTGTTTTGCACAAAATTATGTTTTACTCCTTATGAGGTAGTAAATTTTTATTTTTTCCAAATAATATATGGTTTTTCTCAAGGGCCTCCACTGAAGGACATATAAACATTACTGTAAATGTGAAAGTAGGCTTTGACAAAATCCGTTAAGGAGATTTATGGCTGAAACACCAATTTTTTTTTGGAATTTTCGAGATAGTCAGAGGTGTTGCAGAATCTGATAGTTGTCGGAATCAGAATAGAAACCGATAAGAAAATGTATTAGTAGGTGTCATGAATTCAGATATTATTGGTTTGATGTTCGAAACAGAAATTTTATCGGTTTTGGGTGTCACGGAAACCAATTTTATCGGTTTTGTCATCAGAAACAAAGTAACAGGATATTCGCTGACAGATTTGAAATGTAAGTTAAGAAAATAATTTGTTTTATTGTTACGATTTAATTTATCGTTATTTCGATAGATTAAAATATAAGAATAAAACAAAAAATGTCATAATTACTGAGTTTATGGAAAAAAATCCAGATATTTTAAGAGGATTTACAAAACGTAGCAAATGTAATTTAACACCCAGATGCGTCTTTATTCTGTCGATAATGTGATATAAATCTGTAAAGTAAGCATATATACAAACATACAAGTAAATGCAGGCCAAATTACACATTCGACTCCCCTGGTACATCAATTGGATTACTGTGATCTTTTAATATCTTCCTTTTAATTTTTTCGTTGTTTTTTTCTTTCAATAAAATAAATGCTAAAATAGCGGAGCTCATTGTAAACTCTAGTAGACTTCATTCAGCATTTCAAATTTATCAAACGTTTCCAAATTTATTCATTTGCAAGTTTTGTCACAATAGTAAACAGCTGATTCGAATATTGGTTTTGCATATGTTCGAAAAGACGAAAATCCAATCAGATTTTGTGACACCATTGAAAATCAGAATTGGTTTTCGATTCTGACAATTACGCAAATTACGGATTCCACAGCTCCCCTGAGTGGTTTAAAGATCTATGTTTGTTTTTGTACATTTCGAGTTAACATATAAGATTTAATTTTTTTTTACCATACTCAACCTTCTGTTCTCCTGGTTGTGATATTGAACAAGAAAGTAGCAACATGCAAGTGATTATATTTCAGCACGGAATTATATTTCAATTTCCTAATAATTCATGGCGGTGAAAAATTGGTGACAGGCTTGCAATTTCTAATAAATACCACTAATATTATTATTTAATGGTGCTGCATATTGTATTCATACACATATTAAAATGTATGTATGTGTAAATACTTACCACTATATGTGGGTATGTATTTAAGCACTTTTCTGCTTTTATATACACATCTATTTCGTTTATAGGGATGTATACATACATACATACACATCAACCCTTATCCTTGCTGCAAACATCCAGGTAAACGTAACGGTTGTCAAAAAGTTGCAACGGTCATTGGTCTGGAAACAACGAGTACATAAATATCTAAATTTTTACATGTACATATATAGGGACGTATAAATATATGTATTTGGTGTTTGTAAAAAATTTGATTTACAAAGTTTTCAATAAAATTTGCAATAAGAAATACAATGCTATAATATTTTTGGTTTTCTAAATTTAGGAGATTATGATTTTTAGTACTATAAATTCGTTAGTTTTGTTGATAAATATTTCTATACTACTATACTATACTGCTAATTTTGTTGGGAAAATTTTGCAATTAAGTCACTATATTTAAATATTAATGCAAACCATTTATACGTACACAAAAGCCTGCTTACTTATATAAAGCTGTATATATTTTATATAGAAAGGGAATTCAGTTTATTTTTGGCATCGCTTTGCATGCATAGAACGTAGTTAAGCATACATACAAATACATTAATACAATTATTTCTATCTATGAATGTGTGCGTGTGGAAGACACAGGTCCTTGTTCTATACACACAGTTACTATATGTACATATGCCTGATTGCGAATTTGAAATAGCCGAATGGATGTTAACGCACCCGCAGCTACAACGAATATCAACATCAACAATTCGCTACTATTTTGTTCTGGGTTGGGGCTCGAAAGTTCATGAAACTGCGCCGCTTCACAACCTGTAGAGCTCCAAAGCTGTTATAAATATATCCAACAACATATACATGCGCACACATACTACTTGGGAACTATGCGAATGGGGAAAATAATTTTTTTGTGCCGTCTAACATTCAACAGTTCGGCTTTTGGCTGAAATATGAGTGAGTTGGAGCGACAATCTGCCCCTCTATGGGTGTGGAAGCGTCTGGCTACTCGTATATACATACATATAGTATGTATACACGCATGTGTTTGTTGTAACTCCCTTGCAAGATACATTTTTTGCATTATGGTTGATTCTGCTTGTTGGTAGTGAGTGGCGGCAGCTGAAAATGCGGCTGGCCTCTGTCGGCTGTGCTTGTGTTGAAATTGAGAATATATATTGATTTTTAACAAAAAAAAGAAAGAAAACAAAAACAACCATGAGAGTCTCACACACTGCGGAGGCGGAATGAAGCGAATCGACACAGCCATTAAGGGTGCGCGTACTCTCGTACTCGTTAGTTTATACCCGGAACAAATATACATATGCAATGCAATTGAGCGAGTAGGTACGGTGAAATTGCGCTAAGGGTAGAATACCGTGATTGCCAACTTTCTGTAAACACTATTTGTATGCCATTTGAAATAATATTCAATAATAAAGGCGCAAGTAAGAAAATTGTATATTTTAAAATATTTTTTAACATTATGACGATGTTTTTGATTAACTTCTTACTATGTATTTACATGATACAAGTCTTCTTTTTGTAAATTTTTAATATTTTTGAGCATATTTAAATATGTGTTGCAAATTTTTTATTTAAGAAGTCGTATTAAATGTATTTTCGTCACACTCCTTTATAGATTTTATGAGAAAAAATATTAAAAATAATTTTCGTTACTAATTCTTATAATATCGAAGCGTTAAAATATTAGAATTACGAAAGTGGGGAAATTCGCTAATAAGAATGGCAATTTATAATATGTTAAGGTCAGTAAAGTAGTCAAAATTAATAAAATAATGAGAAAAGTACTACTAATCAGAAATTTAGCATCTTCCTTGTTTGCAGTCCCCTATGAATGGCTTTCTTATTGCAGTTTGCGTGGCATTTATGTCACTTTTACAAAACCCTTGTACACTTGGCAACCCTTAAACTCCTTCTGTACGACATCTGCAAGGGAGGTTGACTGAGCTAAGCCGACAAACTTTATACCCGCCGCAGCTGTCGCCATTAAAATATATTTGCTTGTGTTGGTGAGTCTGTTTGGTGATTGTCCTGCGTCGGTTAGCATTTTTTCTAGGAAGGCAAACAATCCTGTTTATTCTATTGTTGCATTCACTGCAATGCCATCCCGTTTAAATTTTTCGGAAAGGTTATAAAAATTAATAGCTAGAAAGTTGTCTATCGGTATATTAGGACATAACATCTGTTTGGTTGTCTGTTTGCTGTTGCAGTGTATACCTACATATAGTATTTTGGAATATTTGTAAGTATGTGTGAATATATAAATACATATGTATGCACTCTTTGCTACAGCACAGTCAGTTCAACTCGTTCACGACTAGCTTTGTCCGGGCCATTGGCGGTGCTATTGCAACATATTATTGTCTACAGACTTTTGAGCATGTAATTTCCCTAAATTTATCAATATATTTGTAAAACAAAGCGCATTATTAAATGTAGTTTGTAAGCTTTTATTGTAAAACATTATTAATAACAAAATATATTTTTATTTTTGCAGTTTTTAAAAATGATCACTACATTTTTATTAAAGTGGAAAATGAATTGAACCTTGAGTAAAAACGCAGCAACTGTGTAAATATCTACGTTGAAGCTAAACCAAACAATTTTTTACATACAAGCACTGTAAATTAGAAATTACTCTGTCGAACGTAAGCAGATAAAATTCATTTACAAGGATTAAAGGTAATAAATTAACTTTACTTATTTAAATATTTAATAAGAATTTTATGTTATATACATTTTATTTATAATTCTAGAAGCAATATTGGTCATTTAGCTCACCTGCTAAAATGGCCTCTTCTCCTACCCCATCATTGGACTCCATACGTGGTACTAATTCCATAGAATCTTACGGCGAACACACAGGATATTTATCTGACTCCCCATTAACACTGAGCGGCTCATCACCACCAGTTAGTGACTCAGCCATTTGTGACGAATTTACCAGCTCCTCAGGATCCGTTAGTAATCAGCATCATCCCATTTCGGCTTCAGTATCATCTTCGTCGTCGTCGTCTAGTAGCGGTCTAAGTGGTTGCGGCAGCACAAGTAGTGCTAATAGTAATAGTTGCAGCAACATAAATAACGGTAGTAGTGGTAGTGGTGTATTAGGCGGTATCACTTGTAACAGTACTAATGGTCCTGGCGTTATTGGCAGCAATTTGAACGGTAAAGGTAGTCCATCGTGCAGCAATCTGCTTACCAATAATAGCATTGTGAGCGTATCTACAGCTAATGGTGGTGCCGTACCGCGTTGTACCGCTTGTAAGAGTAAACAATCAGATGCTGTGGCGAGATGTTTTGAGTGTATCAGCTATTTATGCGCCAATTGCGTTACAGCACATCAATTTATGCATTGTTTTAACGGGCATAATGTTTCATTAATAAAAGGTTTTGATACGACCGCAAATAACGTGACCACGGCAGCATCAACGACACCAACGTCCTCAGTCACCGCCACAAATATAACCGGCCCTACGTCCAACAATCTGACTACAAACGATTTAAAGTTATCTAGTTCTCTAACTATGATGTTGCAACAACAACAACAACAGCAGCAACAGCAACAAATCACCAAATTTACGCAACTCTCCAAAATGGTAATGAATTCACATCTTGTTGGTAGTAATAATGCCACTATCTTGGGTGATAATGGTGAACAATTGGAAAATAGCAGTAACGCTGATGATTTATTTGGCAATATAGTGCCACAATTACGTTCAACATCATATTGTCGTCGCCACAAAAATGAAGCTTTGAAATTCAATTGTCGTACATGCTGCAAGATTGCTTGTAATGAATGTGTCCTGCAGGAGCATTCAGCTGGCTTGCATGAAGTTGAACATATACAAGAACATCAATTATCGACAGTTTTCCCACCAAATAATACGTCGACAACGGCAACGTTCAGCAGCCAACAACAATCGTCATCCGAAACGGTGTTACAAACTGTATTGACTGAATTGCGTGGCAAAATTGCCGAAATTGTATCGCTGGTCAGTAGTAATTCGGACAATAATTCCAGCAAAATAAAAATGCAATATCAAAAAGCACACAATGAGGTCAATGAGACTTATCAATTCTTCTGTTCGATGATTGACGAACGTAAGCAAGAGGTTTTGAAGGAACTCGAGAGCTTATATAATGCCAAAGTGGCATCGAGCGGTGTCTGGTTGCAGCGCTCCAAGGAACTCATCGAGAAAGCAGTGCATACATGCGATAGTTTGGAACGTTCACCGAAAACACATAGTGTCACCGATGTATTAATGTTGCGCAAAATGCTCGAACAGCAGCTACAAACCGCTTTAATGGATATGCAATTACCATTTGAATTAGAATTTGTTTCAAATTACCAGTCCATACAGGCAGGTGTACGCAACACGTTTGGTTATGTTCGACCAGGCAACGTTGAAGCAACTAGTGGTGGTCAATTAGTTAAACAGCCACCTATAGCCAGACCGACGCAGAGCTCATCCAATAGCAGCAGCAGCAATAGTAGTCTCAGTGGTGTGGGTTCAACACATTTGCCACTCGGTTTGGGTTTGTCAAGTAGCCTACTCGACACTTACAATAATGCTGTGGTTGGTAGCGGTGTAAACGGTGTTGGCGGTTTACTTGGACGTAGCGGCAATCATAATTTGATTGTTAACGGTGGCGCCAACAGTAACGCAAATTTCGAAGAATTGATGGCTAAGCGTTATCATAACCATGCAACGGCCGTCAATGGTGTTATTGCACCCTATGTCAGTGTTAATCCCTATGAGAAATGGAGTAATGGTGGTAGTGATAATATTTTCTCTACTACAGATCCATTTTCTAGCGCACAATTACTTAACTCACTGACAAGCAGTGTGGGCGCCAGCAGCAGCGCACTCAATGCACTAACTGTACAAGCTGGTAATGCATCAACTGATTCGCTAATGGATTTAACTTCGAAACTGCTCTCTACCTCCACTTATCCACCTAAGTCGCAAATAAAGCGCCAGAAAATGATTTACCATTGTAAATTTGGTGAATTCGGTGTGCTGGAGGGACAATTCACCGAACCCAGTGGTGTTGCAGTAAACGCACAAAATGATATAATAGTCGCCGATACGAATAATCATCGCATACAGATTTTCGATAAGGAAGGACGTTTTAAATTCCAGTTTGGTGAATGTGGTAAACGTGATTCACAGCTGTTGTATCCAAATCGTGTAGCTGTCGTGCGTAATTCCGGTGATATAATTGTTACCGAACGTTCACCAACACACCAAATACAGATCTACAATCAGTATGGGCAATTTGTACGTAAATTTGGTGCCAATATATTGCAACATCCACGCGGTGTCACCGTGGACAATAAAGGACGCATCATTGTGGTGGAGTGCAAAGTGATGCGCGTCATCATTTTCGATCAGAATGGCAATGTGATTCACAAGTTTGGTTGCAGCAAGCACTTGGAGTTTCCCAATGGTGTTGTGGTCAATGACAAACAGGAGATTTTCATAAGTGACAATCGTGCACATTGCGTTAAAGTCTTCAATTATGAGGGTCAGTATTTGCGACAAATTGGCGGCGAAGGTGTCACCAACTATCCAATCGGTGTGGGCATAAATTCGAATGGTGAAATTTTAATTGCTGACAATCATAATAACTTCAATTTGACGATTTTCACGCAAGAAGGACAACTAGTGAGCGCACTGGAATCAAAGGTTAAACATGCACAATGCTTTGATGTGGCACTCATGGACGATGGCAGCGTCGTACTGGCTAGCAAAGATTACCGTCTATACATCTACAGGTATGTTCAGGTCCCACCAATTGTTATGTAAATGTGGAGAATAGTAAAGCAAACAAAACGAAAGATTGCGCATAATTACCTAAATGTTAAGTCGGAGTAATATGTAAAGGATAAGCAAGCATGTCGTGTGACAGTTAACCGATGCAGAAACTGCACCGATGCCGGTAAACGTTTTCATTTACAATAATCTAATCTTAATATTAAATGTTATGTGTGTATACGGTCGTTCATTGGTAAGGCCACTTGCATAAGATAATTATTATTATTACAATTATTATTATTATTAATATTACTTTTTGCACAGATAAGATTGACACGCAATTATGCATTGTATGTACCTATTATAAAGTGTACATATGTTTGTTGTACCCAGTTGTCCTGCTATTTTTGATACTTCGAAAGCAAAAGAGCAGCAAACTACCACAGTAAATAAGTTTGCTCTGGTACCCACTGCTTTAATGACCATATATATATTTAAATGTAGAAGTTGTATTGTTTTGACACAACTAAATGCTGCTAAAACCAATTGAGTTAAGGATGAAAAAAAATATTGAGAAAAAAACAAAACACAATAACAAGAAATCTTAGCATTAATTAAATTAGTGAAACTTAATTATAAACACGGAGACAGTTAATGGTTTTCTTATTATCTACTTATAAATTATTTGTTATTTTTTATACCTTTTGCTTGTTTCTTTTTAATTTAATTTTATTTGTAATTTATATGCGCACACTGGTTTATTTGTTTTTTTTTATTTTTATTGAAATTATTACTCATGATGATGATGATGGTATATGTATTTTAGATAAATTTTATTTCGAGCAAAGCATTAAGCATTGTTAGTCGTTAAAAAATTATATTTTTTTATTTTTATATATATAAATAGTTTTGGTTTTATAGACTGAACTGAACTATTTTGTGTGTAACTAAGAAGAAAAAATATAAAAAATGTTAAAACTAAAATTAAAAACAAAAAAAAAATATTCTGCACAAAAAAAGGTTTTTTTGGTAAGCTGTTGATGAAATGAACTTGTGTGAAAAATAAATGATTTTGAATAAAGAAGAAATGAACATTTAGTTAAACGAAAATGAAGCTAAAAATTAAATAATATTAATATAAACGAAAAGTAAAATATAAATTTTGGCAATCAAATAAGACTTGAAAACAACTTAGCAAATAGTTTGTAAATTTGCATTTGAAAGTAGACCTTTTACTTAGTTAAAGAAAAATAAAAAAAACAAATTAAACATAAAAATTAAAAAGAGTTATATTCATAAAATGAATTTAGCTGTTGCATTTGTTTATAGTGATGTCGGTCTCGCATACATTTATGCATACACTTATTGTAGCTACATATGTATGTGTATGCAATCCATGCTTCTATGCAAGTTTTTTACGAAAAATTATTAACTGTATATGCATTATTAAAACAATTATGTAACTATGATATATTTATATACATACATATAAACATACACAAGTTTAATAATGCTTATGTACAAAATATTTGCTGTTGTTAAATATTTGTAGTGCAGTAGTTTCATATTCACACGCAGGCGCAGCGGTTTTCCCCCCCAAACAACACAAACCAATACAACACCCATGCAGTTACATAAATATATATGTACGTAAACTATTTGCCCAAAAACATATTGATGTACAATGTTTTTGTACAAGTGGACTAAATTATCGATATACAAAATATTACTTGCAGAATTAATATTAACATTTATGGCTTAATTATGGAAAAAAGCTTGATAAACAAAATTATGCGAATTTAATACATACATTAATGAATACATAATTATTTTTTAGCTCATTTGTATGTATATAGCAGTTTTTTAAAATAGAACTAAAATATAAGTGGCCAAATTTTCTTAAACGCAAAATAGTTTGCAGTGTGTTAATATTAATATGTGTATGTTGTCAACAAATGTACAAACATTTAATTCTAAACGCACACGCGCACACATTCAAATATGTATATATTTTAACATAAACAATTTGTGCTTAAAAGCTAGCTTACCGGTTACTTGTTAACGGTGTATTCATCACTGCTTGCCTGCTGGCTTTTTTATTGTTCTTTTTTTCGTACCAATTTTACATATTAACCGTTCTTTAAATGAATTTTTACAGCTTAAAAATCAAGCATAAAAATAAGATAAACACATAAATGAGCACATTGCGTAAAAATTAATTAAAATTGTTGGTTACGTAAATTATTTGCTTGGAAACGAAAAATTATTTGAATACTATGAAACTGTTAAGGTTATGTTGAAGATAATGCAGAATTAAAAAAAAAAATTTTTTCGTAAAAATGAACTGTCTCTATTTTATTTTTGTACTGAACACAATTATCGCATATTTGGCAAAATATGCATTTCTAAATAATACATATGTATATATTTTTTTTAATATTTGAGCTGAAGTTTATATTTGCTTGTGTTTTAACGTTTTTTTTTTTGTCTTTTTTTTACAGTGACGTTAGTCTACTAGTATTCGAAAACTGTTTTTGCGTGCAATACAAATTGCAGAATTTTTATAAATTAATTATTATTTTTTTATTGCATTCACATATCGATTTCGTTTTACAAGGGTTGAAAATTAAAGACAACTTCTTTATTAACATTAAAAATTAACAAAGAAAAAACACTTCAAAATTTACAAACAGTTTAAAGCATTTAAAGTAAAAAATCTTTAATCTTCACAAATAGTTTCTTTTTCAAGCAAAAGCCAAAATCGCTGACTTTGAATCATGTGTGAGTGTCGCGAAAATGCACAAAAAAAAAATATAAAATTATAATAGCATTTTATATGAGAAAATACTTCTATACACATATATGTACATACATACACTGAAGGCTTTTAAGAATCTGAAAGCACAAAGAATTTGGAAGATTAATACAACAACTTACAGGCGTGTCTAACGAATAAACAAACCCATACGCAATAATGACTTCAATTAAAAAATATTAAATATTATAGAATGTGCAGTATTTATAAACACTTGTTTATAAATCATAATAAACGGCGACACAAAATTTATTGACTACTGTTAGAAATCGAAAAAAGAAAGAAATTAATCATTAATATTAAATAGTATAGCATTTAAAGTAACTGCATCAACCCACTAACCGATCATTTTTATATGCTCCCACACACACATATTTTTGCATACAGGCATAAGAATAATTGTATTGTTACCGTTATTGGTACTAAGCCAATTAGTAGTGAGGTGTGTTATGTATAACTACAACAACTACTGTGTGAAAAAGATGTGTACGACAGAGATTTTTTATTAACAAATATTTTTTGAAATTTGACTAAGCACAGTATACTAAAAAAGTGTTGTGTATGCTTATAAGTAGTAAAAAAAGAAAAAAAATTTATAACATTCAAATTTGTTTGAAAAGTAAGAGGAATTTTTAAAAAACACTATCTTCTTTAATGTTTGAAATCAACCAACACTGCTGCAAATCGACTTATTACTACATACATACATACATACATAATCTAACTCGAATTAAACTTATTGAACTGTTGTTTATTAAATTATACGAAATATAGAAAAGTTTTTTAAAGTGATGGAAAGTTTAAGCAAAAGAAAAAGAAGAAATAGTATGGACAAAAGGCACAAATTATTATCAACACTCAAAGCAAATGCGGCAAAAAACATAAGATTGATAATTTAATAAAACAAAAACTAAAAAAGCAAAAATAATTCGAAATTCTGTAAGTAGTGTTTATATTTTTGATAAATGTTATTAAAACTCCAAAATGAAACACAAATTCAAACTACATAAATGCAAAAGCAAAGGTGAAAAAAAGAAAACTTAAATAATGCAAAGACGTGAATAAGCAACGTTGGTTGTTGAAATGAAACTAAAATAATAATTCATACGAAAGTGAGAGAATGAAAATGTAGCAACCGAAATGCGCAGGCATATTAGTATTGTTGGAAGCATACAATTGCAACGATTGCATGGGGACTAGTACCAAAAAGTGTGCAAAACAAAAGTAAACACAACTAAATTAATTTAATATTGCTTTATGTTGCATTATACTATGCAATAGCTTTTTTTTTTGTTTGTTGAAAAGTTATTTAATTTTTAGTTTCAGCAAAAAAAGCAAAAAAAAAAAATAAAGTAGTTTAGCCAGCGCTGCATTTTAACTAGTTTTCCAAGTTTTCCCTCCACCAACCAAATGTTTTAACATATTATAGAAATGTAAAAGTTGAATGAAAGATATTGATCTCATTTGTTGTGCGTTGCGGCCTACTAAAGCCAATTTAATATCAATGTTGTAGAATGAAACAAAAAAAAAAGAAATCAAACTTCAAAAATAAGATAAATTATGAAATATGTGGTCAGCGACTGGTGTTAAAGTTTATGCAGATTTATTACAAAGCAAAGCAAGTTATTATTCAATTATAAATGAATTCTCTCGGAATGTGTTACTACTTGCAAATACTTTACATAACGGTTTTGTGCAATTTGCAACGGCTTATATGGTTATTATGGTTTTGTATTCAACATACATATAATAAAATACGTGCATACATAACTGTGGACTTTTGATACCTTGTAAAGCTGGGTTTTCGAATATCGAAACAAGAATTTTGGCAAAAAAAAAGAATACAAAATATGCGAATTTTGATTTTAATCAAATTTGTAAGTTGGTAAAATGAGTTCATGTCGCTAGTTTTATCACAGTGCGAGATGTTTGCTTTCAAAAGCACTTTCTTCGCTACGGTAAATGCTAATAACTACTTCGTGTTTACGCTAAACTGTAATTAAGAAAAAGAAAAAGTTCGAAATGCTCAATTATTCATTGCGAAAAATTGTATTAAAAAGAATTGCAAATAAAAAATATTGCGCTTTTATGAGATATTAAAGAATTTTAAAAGTTTTTGTTTAGGAAATACACAACAAAATTACAAAATTTAATTATATAAAAAAAAATTCAAAATTTTTTTGACAAAAAATTAATTAAATAAAATGCAACATAAATTTGTTAACTTTAACGAATTTTCACACGCTTTATTTTAACAAAATATTAATTAAACAGTAAGAAATACAAACACAACTTAATTAACCAAAAAAATACAAAATTCGTTTGACAAAAAATGAATTAAACAAAAAAAAAATACAATTTTTTTTGACAATAAATAATAATATTAAAAAATACACACACTAAAAATAACTAAAATTTAAATAATTAAAACGTAAAAATTTGGTCGACATAAAAATCAATTAAATAGCAAATAAATTTGTGACAATATTTTATTAAAGAATTGAAAAGTAATTATAAATTAAGTTAAATTTTTGTTGAAAATTAAAATTCAGAATTTCAACAGTCCACATATATGTCTGTACCATAGTTTATGTGTTATGTGTAAAATAAAATACGCTAACTCAGTATGTCTACTTTAGCTATATAATGATCGTTGTTATGCACAATTTTTAAGAAGTCGAAAACTTTACACACATGCATATGTACATGCATACATATGTATAATTTATCTATCGAACTTCTAGCGACTTGCATGTTAGTAAAGTATTTGCATTCGTGGGTGGTTAAATTTTTTTTATATAATATATTTTTCTTTATTAAACAAAAATTTGAGGTCAATTTAAGCTAAGAAAGGTTAAGAGGTACGAAAATCAATTTAAACTGTATCGCGTTTATTTAGCTTGTAGTTGTTTTAGTAAATAGACTTTATTTCTACTTAAGCTGTGTGCGCACACACCCACACATACTACTGCATTCTGCATTGGCATGTGTAATATATGAAAAGCTGAAAATAGTTTTCGTTTTGCTGCATTTAACAGCTTAAACAAGAACCATACATATTTGAATATGCATATGCTGTAGCAATGCAGATATTTTTCAGCATATGCATTATTGGCAATTATGCACAACAACCTAAACTAGCATATATCAACTGTCACATGTTGTACAGGTAGTTTTTGAAATATGCAATGCGCATGCTAAAATGTTAGATTGTAATTTTTAAGGGTTTATTTTAGCTGCGTTATATATAACTATATACATACATATACCTTCTGAAACTATTTCTACTATATAAATCTACTGCAATGTACTAAGTAGATCCATAGAATATACACATATATATATGCATACATATACATATATATGTAAATGTTCGTTGGATAAAAAAAAAATTTAACTATATGACTGATTTTTATAAACATTCGTATACATATATACATACATACTTACAATACATTCAAGCGTTTAGGTCGTATGTGAGTTTAAATGTTATTTGTAATATATATATTTATATATACATACAAACGTATAGAGTTGTACTAAATGCATTAATTATTAGATGATATATATACATATATACATACACATACACACTTTATTACAACAACAAACAAAAAATAGATAACCGTGTGATGCTGGATGCTGCTTCTAAAAAATGTAGTGTTTACATACATGCATACATATAAATACAGCGTTATTTGAATGCTCTCTTGAAAGTTCGGTAACGTTTGAGACTAAAATAAGTGAAAAACTACTTTTAAACGTTAAGTTAAATGTTAAAAGAATTTAATGCGAATTTGTGTTGGCTGCAACTAATTTATTTCAATTGCTTATTTAGTTCTGTTGACATACCATACATATGCAAAAAGTAATTCACTATTTTGGTACTAGTTTTTAGTTAATGGAATTTAAAATACGACTGCGATAGCGTAAGCTTACCAAAAACAAATGTTTTACCTATTGTGAAGTCTGCTTTTTCATATATACATACATACATATAAAAATAAGTATATGGTACATATGTACATAAATTTATGTACTGAGCTACTTTAATGAAAATGTTAATTGTTACTTAACACATGCAAATAATAATACTCCGTAGTAGTTTTTTTTTTATATAAATATTTATTTTTAATTGTTTTTTAATATTAACTAATATTTGCTTATTATTTTGAACTTTTGTTTTTAGTTCTTACAGTTGTAACGTTTAGACTGTTCTATCTAATGTAATAATAAATGCCTATATATACATGCGTATATATATATACATGCGTATATATATATACATGGCAAAAATATAACGAAAAGTAATATAAATAAAAACCCGTAGCAAAGTGTTGGAAGTGTGAAAGTGTATGCAAATTTAAATTGATAAAGGCGCGGAAAAAGTAAAATAACACGAAAAAAAAACAGTTTATGCGAAACAAGTTTTTAGAACTTATAAAGAGTGACTCATTTAGGGAATTTTTAAAACCAAAATCTTGAAATTTAAAATTACGCACACATGCCGCATTTTATACAACACAGTGTTGTTAAGTGCCGTTGTGCAACTCCAATGTTTCGCGATGTTTTCTAAACAAAACAACAACAAAATAAAAATAAATAAATCAAACCGATTTAGGAATGAATTGTTTTTTATTTATTTCATTTTTTATATATTTTTTTTAAAATTAAAATGTTTATAACTACCAATTTTATAAGGTCGCGCAATTATTTTATGCTCTCTAGCATAAGTTGGCTTTTTATATATTTACATAAATATATATAAATATTTCTCCTGCCGAAACGAATTAAAGAGTTTATAATAATATTAATAAAAAAGTAAAAAAAAAAACAATCAAATAAAAAATATATTAATATTTTTGTATGCATTTGTAAGATTGATGTTTACTCTTGTAGCTTATAAGTAATATTGACAAAAACTAAAACATACATACATAGAATGAACGTGTAAAACTTAAAAATGTTTAAATGTAATTGTTGGCTTTTATATATATACATACAAAACATACATACATTCATACAATTATATATCATTACTTAATAAGTATGAAACGTGTGTGGAACATGCAGCAAATATGGAAATACCGACCAATAGACTCATAAATGCCTATGTTTCTACTAATAGTTTTAGGTGATTACCGTTAAACTACCTAAATCTAGTTTATATACTTACATACATACATATTTCAATTTGCAAAAAAAAAATGAATTAAAGAAAATAATAATTACCGTAACATACAAACAAAAAATGTGTGACGAATTGATTCTGCTGACGACTGCCCTACTGTTGGCACTTTATTTAATAAATATTATTAAAATATTATAAATATAAACAAAATTTAATAATATTAAAAGGCTCTCTTGGTATTTAAGTAGCAGCATGTGCGCGTTAGTAATGTAAAGCAATTATATATATATTGTAATGATAAGTATTGGCATATGCATACACACATATACATAAACATGCATACATTATAGCTGTTTCTTATTATGTTTATGATTATTGACTATTATCATCATTAGCTATGTGTAACAACAGGTCTTGTGTTCCACCTGCTGTTGCTCTTTATGCATTTCTCAAATATTGTTGTCTATTTTATTTCGAATTTTTTTCTCTATTGTGAATTTAATATTAATTACATACATACATATATGTATACATATACATATATGTGTATACATTTTTAGTTAGTGTTTTGTAACTTAATTGAAATTGAATTACTTCTGTGTAATTTTATAGCATTTTTAAATGCTAATGCATTTCAATGTAGTCTCTACCTACATATATATATTTATATACAAACCTAAAGTCGTGTTATTATTATTATTAATCCCTTTTTTTTATATGTAGCAACGCTCCTATTAGTTGATAAACCTTTAAGAAAAACGTATTCTTAATTTTTGATTTATTTATTGTTACAACTGTAACGTTGTGAAAGTAAAACAACAAAACAGACCAGCATGCGAAATGTTAAAGAAAGCGTCGTTACAATGAAATTATATTGTAAAGTACTTTATTAATAAGCAATTTTTAAATTGCTTTGTTAAAAGAATTAGCACGTTTAGTATATGAATATGAGTAACTGACATAAAATTATCATAAAGGATTAAAAAATATTAATTAGCGCATTATATTTTTCTACCGCTTCGTAAATTAATATAATTGTCAAAATATCTAGTTAAAGAAAAATAATAATAAAAAAATAAAACAAAAAGCAAAACAAAAGGAAAAAAGTAAAGTATGAAACGTAATATGGAAATACTGCTGCTTAACGTTGTATGCAATAGAAATTCCATACGCATGATGTTCCCGCCAATATCGCATTGATGCTGTTTAAACATAAGATTTTTTACATTAATATTATTGTTAATATATACTTCCTTTCCTCTCTTCCTCTCCTATCCCAACTACCTTTCCGCCGTTATATTATCCTTACGTCCTACGTTTTCCTGTATGCTCTTTATCCTAACATATTTTTTTACTACCATTCGGGTATTATTGCTAAGCTTAACTCACTATCATATACGTTGTA